GCAAAAAAGCAAAAAAGCAAAAAAGCAAAAAAGCAAAAAAGGAAAAAAAAGAAAAGAAAAAAGAAAAAAAAAGAAAAAAGAAAAAAAAAAGAGCAAAAATAGGGAATCCATAAAAGGGCCCAAAAGAACTTTAAGAATGTGCAAAACCAAAGAAATATCCTAGACCTTTATTTCTGAGTGCATACCTATACACCTTTTGAATGTCTTTTGTTTGCCATCTAGAAGGTGGATTTCATCATTGCTTTTTTTCACTTGTTTTGTAAATACTTTCCAAATGACTAATAACTCTGTTGTTCTAGGACCTCCTTGAACAGAGCTCTTGAATCTTTAGGGGTTACACTGATTTGAAGTTTTAAAGACATTAAATAGCATAACTGCAGCCAAATCCTTCTGCAAGTCATAATTAATAAACAAAGAGGAGGGGCTATTTCATACTGTATTGGAGACTAGTTGTTACAAAGGGAACAAAGTAAACTGTTTGCTGATTGTTTTTCTTCTCATAACCTAATACAAAACTATGCTAAACAAAAGCAAAGATGATGTTTGACCAGAATCCAGCACTAAAAACACTGAGCTATGTCTGTATTTAGCACATCGTTGAAGCACGCTAACTATTCTGGTAAAAAGATTTCTGGAAAATAAGTGTCATTCTGAAGTCCTCTCGAAAGTCCGCAAGAACAACTTTCTTTCGGTTGTTTTACTCACTTGTACTCCTAATCTTATGCTTTTGAATAAAATATTGAAGGATGATTAGCTAAATAATGTCCATTATTGTAAAGAACCAGTAAAATGCTGATGATGTATTTTATTATGTTTTCAAATGTTAGTTATTCTTCTCAATGAAAATATACTTTCTACAGTCAGTCAACCCAACAAAATATTTCATATCTCAAGTACTGCAGTCTACTTTCAGTCCATGATATAAAATTCTTTGCCTTCAACTTCCCATCTCTTAGGGTTTGACCACAGTTAAGATCACCACCAGGAAGAAACATTGAGGGAAGCCTTCAGAGACCTCATGATTCCTAATTCTTAGAAGTCATTTCTGTCAATCGCCCTGCAGTACCTGCTTCTGCTGAACACACCGAGGGGGATCCTACAGACAGGAAACTACCAGGATCTGTACAGAAGTCAGGAAACTACCAGGATCTGTGCAAATCATATGGAGGCTCATTGGTTCCGGCCAGTGGTGGCTACCCTAAAGATTCCTGGAAGCACAGCTTTCATGTGAGATGTACCATGACTTTGTGCATGGATTTTTACAGAAAGCTGGTAAAGTGCCAAGTCTTGAGAAGAAAGCAGTATTTATAGCTTTTCCATATTCATTCCATGTAGCTGGAAGAGAGAGAAAGCATATTTCCACTTGCCTGCCTAGGCCTCTACTTACTCTTAATTAAGAGATTTTGGACCCCAAATAGCCCTTTACTGGATCCAAAATAGAAAGGCGAGGAAAGGAGTGAAAGAAATCAAATATGAAAATGGTAACCCTCTGTAAATATCAACTGGGCCAAGAAACGTCAGGGCTTCTATGAGAGGACTGTATTCTCTATTGACTTTACAGGGCAGAAAACGGAACTCCTCAGGACAAAGTGCTGCTCATAAGTATTTTGAGCTGACTGTGTTGTCACCTAAATTTTTACAAAACTTCCTTCTACCTGAAAGGTAGCTGAAGTGATCTGCAGTCCTTCCTGCATACTCTGCTGCAGCTGGTTCTGTATAGTGATCTTCTTCTCCTTTGTAACAGATGCAATAGGAAAGCTCCGGATCACCGTCTGCTCTCCAACTGAGGACCATAAAATTGTATTTACAGATACTTATTAGATCACAGATTCAGATCTGGTTTGGTCACTTTGTATTTTGAATAGATACGATGAGTAAGCACAAAGCAACATGAAAATAATGGTACAGAATTCATTTCAGGCAAAATACTTGAAAAGTTGGTAAATTCCTAAAGTATTTTTTGTAATCTGAATTTCTCCTTAATTTCAGCTGGGATGATTAGAAAAATACTCTCCTTCCTTCTGAGTCTTTTTACACGATGGGAACGCATCCCCAAAATCTAGGTTGGTAGCAGATGAAGAAACAGTTTCAAGCTTATTCAAATTTCATATTGCATTATACAACTTATAAACAATGAATTATATACACTGGTATCTTTACATATGACCATGAACTTTACACAATAAATTTATACTTCTGAATGACAATCTGCTTAGAAATGGCAGATGTCAACATATGCAAATATAACATTCAGAAGAGCTATTTCCATTACATATTGAAAAGAATACTTAATTTATTAATAATCATTTTAGGGAGAATACTAACTCACGAATATTTTTCATTTAACACGCTTCCAGTGGCTGAAAAAACCCCTGTTTAATGAAAGGCTAGGGGCAGTGGAAGCTGCAGATCTTACACAGTATATATGTTCTCTCTTAGTGGTGAAGAAGCTTACAAACATTGCTCTGCAAAGCAGCATTATTAGACCAACTTTACAGATGGAACTGAGATATAAAGATACAAAGCATTTTGTCCATTCGAAACAGGAAGACTATGGAAATTACGGAAGTATGATCAGGAATGTCCTTATTTTCTGTCTCCAACTTTAGGTAGTCCATAAAAGCCCATAATACCATGTGACAGTCTGCTGAAGTTTCCTCTAATACAAGTACATATTATGATTTTATATTACATAAATTACTGAAGACAGCACTCTAAATATCTACCAATATGCAGGAATAAACAAACATTTGGCACCTATGCCTCATCTGAAGAAATTCGTTCTAGTTAAGTTAAATGCAAAATCAATCATTATCATATCTAGTGATAAAAACCTGCATTAAGAGATTATTCTTATCTGATCAACATGAAAAATTGTGAGGTATATACATTTTGATGTTAATGCTTGAATAGGTGGATAGGCCAGCTCAAAGTCCTGCCTATCCGAAGGACCACATTTATCCCTGTTTAATTTTTCTTACCCAGTTGATCATGAGGAGTGCCTTTAAATATAATTCTGTAAGTGGTAAGGAACAAAGCTCCTTCAGCAGGGAGGATGTGAGGACCTCCAAGCAGTCCTCCTGTGGCTTCCTCTCTGCCATCAGGATCCAGTAGCACACGGAGACCTTCACAAACAAATTCTTCTCCTGGCAGTAAAGTTGGTCGTAGAATTTTGGGCTGACGCAAATAAATGAAAGTGTAAGTGTAATGGCGATACCAGTGTTACACCTCAGTCTAGTTATAATATCTGGCTTAAAAAGCTTCAAAACAAAATTGTTATGAGACTGAGTCCAAAGAAGGGAGATGGAGTTTGGACTCAACTAAGAAAAATGGGTCTCAAAAAACAGTGGGCATGCAACAGCTTGTTTATGATGAGAAGGTTGGCTCTACTAGTTTCATAAGTTCATATTTCACGAGACCAAAGCCAAGCACTTTATTTATCACTGGTGGAAATTTGCTTTCAATGTTTTGATGTTTCCTCCTAATATTATGAGGGGGGAAAAAAGATGACTAAATTGCATGGTCCTAATACTTGTAAAGAATACAAATATGTTTCATAATACTTGCCTTCTGTATTGGTGGAAGCCGCCTACTCTCACGATGGACAGCCTCCAGTGTCTCTATGTGCATTGCTACAATGCCTGGAAAGCAGTAGTACCATAAATGAAGTCTCACATAATATGAAAGAGAAGGTTGCAATCTAATTAAAACTCTGATACTCCGAAATTCTCAAATTTAAACATCAAGGGAATAATTATTTGAAATTCAATGGCAGTTATAGTCTAGGAAAGAAATCTAACCATCTAACTTCACTGAAAGTAACTGACATCAAAAAGTGCATTTCTCTCACTAGGAAAAAAAAAGAAAAAAGAAAGACTACAAACTACTTTTTTGTCACAATTCTTACCTGGTATCATGCAGTGAAGACCCTTGATGTGATCCTGTGTAACTCCGCTCTCTGTGCAAACCTTGTCAATAAATCTGGTGATGAAGCGTACAACTGCATTTGCAACATCATTGTTCTCAGAGTCCTCAAATCCACTTTCTGTGTCATAACTCTCTGCAACACTGCCTGCAATACTATGGACATAAATAAAAGAAATTTCAAGTGTGAAAAATTCAGCTGGTGATGCACATATGATACCTGGCTAGAGACAGACAAGCTGTGGGGTTTTTTTCTAGTTACAATACATAAACCTTGCTAAAAGCATATGGTGGTACCACAGTTACACTCTAACTTCACTGTCATTAACACTGTCAGAACTGCATGGAGAACTTTTCCTCCATGATTCCAGTGCAGACAGACCCACAAGAGAAAAAAAGCTGCTTGGAAGTGAGCTCTATGTCCTCTCTTCGTAGAGTCAAGTACGTTATTTGCAACTCATTGTAAACAAATATTCAGTTACATACAGAAAGATACATTAAATAAGTATTTTGGTTGCAGAGCAAAGCATTCAAAAGCTAAAAAGACCATAAGAATTTTTTTTTATGCTTCAGATAGAAAATGCAAGCAAGCCAGTGGGAGATGTACTTTGAACATCTAAAAATGCCTCCCATAATAATATTAAGGGCCAGATTCATACATTGCGACTTACACTGCAACCTGTCTACTGAGCATGTCCTAATGCCTGAGTTTAGAGGTGTTTAGTCAGCAGAAATGAGTAGCCATGGGGAGTCTGATACTGATAGCCTGCCTATCTTTTACTTGATGTCAGTGTTCTCGCGTAGTGTTCTACAATTTTATCAGGTGGGAATTCTGATGGATAGGCGATAATGGAAACAATAAATAGAGAGGGAGGAAGACTTGTTATTAAATGTCCTGGATTTGCATGCTAGGGAATGTAACTGGCATTATACTCCTCCTGCCTCCTTAGTAATTTAACCTTTGCCACAGTGGTTTAGCCCTCTCGCTTTTTATGACCCCAGTGCTTTTCTTCCTTGCAGCTGCTGCACAGAAATTGTGATTTTATGGATGCTATACAAATGCTTTCTTGATTTTAGGTTCATACACTGTTTTTTTTCAAGCTATGTGAGAACTAACAAGTAGGTTTTGGGCTGATGGTTTCTTTCTCATCATACCCTATGTTTGTTTTCAACATTTGCATTACTAGATTAAAAATTCTTACTGCTACAATAGAATTCTTATGTTCCTTAAATGGTGGTAAACTACTCTGGATTAAGTTCTCTTATTTAAGAGGAATCATGTTAGACTTCTGCTCTCCTTAATTAATAAAACTTGAAAAGAAGAGAAGACACTGAAATAATCTGGTATTTAGAATAAGTCCTGAAAATTAAGAAGCTTTTGAAAACTGTGGCCCATCCGGACTGAACTTGCGTACCCACCTGTTTGTGACAATACTGTTGCTCCCACTCTCCCAGTCACCAGTAGCCGATGTTCTCAATAACTTGTTCTTACTTGTGTCCAATGGTACTAGCAGGTAGACCATGAGGTTAGCAAAATGAATTGCCTGACTGAAAACCGTACTTTCCTCGTTCTGGACTAGCTCTTGCTGCGTTTGTTTATTAAGAGTTGGCCATAACCGCAACTGCTCAGCAGCCAGGTCCATTGCTGTCTTATCCTGGTCTGGACCTACAGAATTCTTCTCCTAGAATATATATCGAAAGACACAGAAGAAATAATGAAGCTATAACTTAAAAAACAATGTTTAGTCAAAACTTTACTTTAAATTGTTTATTAAACTTCTTCAGTTATTTAAATTATGTATTAATTTTAAAAGAAAAGGCAAATAACTACTCAGTAGGGTTTGAGGAGAGTTATGATTATAGTAACTGAGCTTTGAAGGCAGTTTACTGAAATATGCAAGTAGCACAATGCAGGCAGATCTAAATAACATCATTTCTTTCTAGATCTTTTTTATGCTATATGATCTTCCATTTTCTTTAGAATGGTTTACTGATTTTAATATAGCTGCTCTCCTTAGCTTATCCACTTAGCTCACACAAGAACAAGCGTAAATCAGATTGAGAAATAACATGCAGCTCATTGCTTGATGCAGGTGATATTCGCCAAATTCCTAGGATGTTCGGGTGAGGCAAGCTTTTATATAAACAGTTTCCAGACTAGCTGAAACATTCATGTTTACACATGTTGGAGTCCAATTCTAGCATTTGCTTGAAGCAAACTAGGTAGATGGTACACAGTGAAATTATATTATAACCTGAGGAAATTAGAATAAAGGAATCTGGCAGCCAATATTAGTGACCTAACGCCTAATGTTAAATTACTAAAGGACTAAGTATCTTGTAAATGTTTTTTCCATACTAAATTAACATTGAGCTAATTTTCCATATAAGCACATGAGGGTTAAAGTAGATGCTTCCTTGTAAGTTCTACTATTCTTCACATTTATTTTTACATAGTGTCAGAATGGAAGGGGCTCCCCATACACAGCCCCATGGTCCTTTTCTCTTTATCCCCGATATGTCTGACATGCCTTTTCAGTTCTTCATTCTGACTGCATTTCTGGGAATATCTCTGCCCATTTTACTTCCTTTCTTTACAATGCTGTATGACTTTGGGTAGCATACACTTTTCAGTCACATAGTTGATAATGATTTTTTCATACAAGAGAAGAGATTACAAATGGCTCTTTACTATGTGTATATGCTCCTTCTTAAAAAAAAAAAAAAAAAATCTTATTTTAGCATGCTGCATGGCTTCCCACTATACTTTCATTTTTGCATTAGAGATGCACTTTCCTCCTACTGATACAGACAAATTGTGTTCTGGAAGATCTGTCCAATTTTAATAAAGCAGACTGAGTGCCATTCAACAGAAACCACCACCCTAGGGTTTGATAATAATCTGACACTGAACACTAGAACTGCTGCTACCTTAGGCTGTTCATATAATAGAACTGTCACTAGTTTATAACACTGCTATACAGTAAGTTACTACTCTCAAGAAAAACATAGACCTTCAATTGTGGAAAATTATACAAAAAGTGGTTGCTTAAAAGATCAGAAGACCTAATTACAATGCTTTGCAGATAAATGTAAATATTTCTTAATTTTCATGTTATTATATGCTGTTTAATATGGGAAAAATGAAAGAAAAATACGTAAACTTGGAGACACCATAAGTTAGCTCTCTGTAACTTAGGAGACAATTAAAATGTGAATAAAAATAGTACCTTGATATTTACTTTAATATATTCTCCTACCTTTTGTCTCAACTGTACTGCATGGTTGTCGTCTTTGGCTGTAAGGTAGAGGGAGCGAACTTGATTTTGCACGTTGCTATAAAAGGTTGTTTCCCAAAACTGTTGGTTAGTCCAGATAGGATGGTCTTGTACACAGGTGTAAGCAAACTGACTAACTCCAGGTGCTAATTTCTGAAAGGAAAAAACATGCAAAATGGACAAATTAGTCCTATTATTTAATTTCCTTTGAAGGCTATGGGTTGAGTATTGAAAAATATACATATATAAAATCAGTTGTACAGACTGAAATATGCAACATCTACCATCCTTTGTACTGCAATATAGGAAAGAGAAATTATCTCCAGTTTTTTGCCATTAAAGAAATTAACATACAGGAAGTTTGTATACAAGCCTAATGCCAGTGCAAGGCATGGCTTTCTTGATTCACAGTAGAAAAATGAGACCTGAGAGGAAGAATTCTACGATGACAGCACAGAACACATTTCTAATAGAAAACATTTTCCTTGCCAACAAAACATAGTATTTTTAATAACCTAGTCCTACAACATAGAAATCAGTATTCGAACAGATGAAAATTATTTATTTTATTTAAAAGTCAGAACTACAGTAATGAAATTTAAAATAATTGTAAGTGGCAACTGAGTCCTTCCAATAAGCTGCATTTATTGCAACAGCAGAAGATTAGATAAATTTTTCTCTTCATTGTTATCTACCTCACTGTATGACCCAAATCCAGCTCCTGAAAGAGTACTAAATGGGGTGTGTTCTTTGAAGCCGCAATGGTCTGGATCCCTGTAAGATCTCAGACAAAACCAGAATTGTTACAGCATTACTCATTATGAGTGCATCATTTTTTTCAAGTAGGTCTATTTATTTAGGTGGCACTAGTCTCCCAGTGAGTTGTTTAATACTCCTGATAACCACATACAATGAAAGGAAATTTATTTCAGTGACCCAAATCATGAAGAGTGAAACCTTATATCGTATGTTCTTTACTTTTTGAAGAAAAGGCCACAGAAGAATTTGTGTTGTATACTGCATATAGGAAAGAAGCAGACAATCTAAATACCTGCTTATGATTATTTCTACAGTAGAACTGAAGAATAAAGTACATTACTGGGTGCCTTATTTAATGACTTTCACTCAGAATACTACCCATACCTGAAATATACACTATATACAGAAGTTAATTTTACTTTAATGATTATGTTGTAAACCATTTTCCTGTAGAGCATAAATACTACTTAATATTTATAACTGTACAATTGTACACAACAGCCAGCACATGTTATACTTTCTTAGTAGGCACCCAGACATTCAAGTGGAAGGCTAGAGAATTACAACTGAAAATTTTAAAGTCTGTTTTACAGATTTCTGGTTTTGCAATCCTTCAAACTGTGTTTTCCACACTATGCTCTTCCAAGTACATCATGAACCAGAAGTTCTGACCATGTGCCATGTATTCATTCCCTATCGAAGACAAGGTCCTTTGAAATGGTATGTTTGAGATGTGACATGTTACTAAAATTTGCCCAATTGAAATACCTTCTCACAATTAACCATCAAAAAGTGAGAAATATAATTTTTATTTAATCATACAGAATGTCATTAAAATTTCTTGGTAACCTGTTAAGAAATCTAAATGTGTGGAAGATTCAAATTACACTAAATGTGACGTTGTTTATTCATTATAGATTAAAACAAAAGATAGCTGGTTTGTTTAACAGATTCCCAAGTTTCAGCTGTGATGCAGTTTTTGGTAGTCACAGGAAATGATAACTGATCACACAGTAATGGCTCTCATGCTTGATCTAGCTCTTAAATCACAGAACAGGAAAGCTCAAATAGTGTCCTACTGCTCTTTGTATTGACTGCTGGGCATCCCTTGAAAAAATCTGAGGCATACAAAAGATACAGTAACTAATGACTATGTCAAGCCTGTTAATCAGCAGGGCAACTAACTGTAGATGAAACTGAGTTTCTGAATTGTAAAAAAATGAGAAAATGTTAAAACAAAAAATATACAGGAGGACTGCCTCTATCGTCCTGTAAAGCTACCTCCTTTACAGTAATCTTTATTCTTTAAGAGCTGTACATATTTAATATCTTTCACCATTGGCCGGTGTGTATATAGCTAGCTTAAAATGGCTTAATTTGTTCAGCTGTGGCAATTAACACAGGGCCCAGAGAATGGATCTGGCCCAATCATTCAGCTAATTCAAAATCTAGATGCACAAAACTTGTGTTACAGAGGAATGGGCATGACAGGTAAATCATGGAATATAAATATGGACAACACATCTTGAAAGCTACAATTACTGCTTAAGCCGTATCATGACTTTGATTTATTCTTTATTTTTTTCACTGGCAGTAATTCCCAGTCACAATGCACTGCAAAAACAGAGCATGATGTTAGAAAGAGAAAAAGGAAAAAAAGGAAAAGGTAAATGTCTGTTCAAGCCTAGCTAGTTGGTATAGCTAACTCATGCTAATTTGTGTAGTGAATGCCACACAAAGGAGTGATTTGAGTATCAACCTGTCCAGCTGCCTTTGACGCCTCAGCCGAAATCAGGTAATTATGTGAACTAGGTAAAGAGAGGGTGATCTTTGGCACAAACCCAAAAGAAAGTTTAAACTCATAACCCTGGGTCCACAGTAATAGTGTTACAGAAATAAACAAATTATTTTCACATGTGGATAAACATGACAGGAAAGCTGAGGGACTTTTAGATGCTCTTCCTGTGCTCATAATTTAAAACCCTTAACAGTCATGTACAAAACACAATGGTTAAACAACGGAGATTTATGTTCAAATATAACGACATAAATCAACACTGACAGTAACTTCTAGGCAAAATAAAAATAGTTTGTTTACAAAAGGATGAAAGAAAATCCATCAAAAAGCTAAGCAATCATAAACATTATCCTTCTTATCACCTGCATGTGTTGAAACAAATGGCAAAACCTAATAGTGGCCAGAGCACAGAATCAAAGTCAGGACTTGTAGTTCCAGGCCCAGCTCTGCCAGTTATTTTGGGCAAAACCACTTTGGATTCTCAGCTTGTTTTGGTTTGTTTGTTTGTAAAAAAAGCAATATGAACACCAACCTTAAGAAGCACACTGCTGCTCCTATGCAGTCAAAATCCATGGATTAATTATACTCTTGGTACAAATATAAGCATTCCATGAAGCTTGCAGTGTCTATATTCCCTACCCTGGCAGTGCTTAGTCAGCCCATTTGACTAGAATGGAAACTAATCTAATACATCAAAAGGGCCCCAGTGTTTACTGTTGCATTCAAAGGAATTTGCTCAGGATTTCTCCAACTTAAGTAAAACAGTAGTTCAGAGTTTTTCATCAAGCAATACTACATATAGAAAACAAATCTTCACCTATCTTTCCACAGCACAGCTAAAGTATACTGATATTTAATCTCTTTCTCCCCGTTCCGATAATTCATTTCTGCCAGACAGAATGAAGGTAGGAGGCAGCAAAAGAATTTCCTACTTATAAGGGAGGATTTAAGGGCTGTCAGCTTAAAAAAGACCCCAGAAGAAAATAATAAAAATAGTTCTGAACTGATAAAGTCCTTATTCTAAAGCCGTCCCCATGACAGCTTAAATGAGCATTAAGGTGTAAATTGTATAACCAACAGGAAGTGAGTTCACTTTTGCAAAGGACAGAAAGTTCTTTCAATAGACTAATGATACTTAAAAAACCCCAAACACTCCCCTCCCAAATTACGTATGAAACAGACATTACCCATATCAAAATAATGAATTACATTCCACAGTTTGTGAAAACACAAGGTAGATTTGGGACTTGCTGTATGTGTCTATAGGCAACTTCCTGAATTCAGGAATTATCTTTCCATTATTTCCACCTTACATAGTGGCACTGGATAATATCTGCCTAGAATTTTTTCTCTGTTTCCTGACACTGGATACTTCTGATTCTGAAAATGATACTTGCGGCTCAGTAAAAAACGTGCACCAACTCAAAGACTCCCAAACTTACTGTGAGGTGCAGATCCCCAAAGAGCTTCTCTATGATATTATATTATTTAGCTTGCTTGTTTCTGGAAAAGAAAAACATGCTTTGTGCTGATCACTCATCAGTCATTATCCTTTACACCACAAAACCTTAAAGAAGAAAGCAAGTTTATTCTATCAAAGCAAAGGATCCAGTTATTGATTGTGAAGTTGGAGAGTTACAAAACAAAAAGTATAAAAAAGAGAATATAAATACCTGAGACTGCTCTTTTGTCACAGGATTTTGCTGTATGCGTCTTGGCTATGGAAACGAAGGGGCAAACTCAACAGTACTCCGTTTTTTAGAGAAATCCAGCTTACTTCTGAAGTAAGCTGTATTTCTGTGTCCAGCTTATATCCTGGGTTACTGGTTTGGATATTTTTGGTGAGAAGAGGAAGGAAAAGAGGTGAGAAGGAAGTTGCTGCTGAATGCAAAGAACAGCTTCCTCCTCAGCTCCTCGAGGAATCATTGTGCTATGGGTTATCTGCTTGACCTCTGTGAGAAAGCTATTGCAACACCGGTGAAACTACCCACCAATCTTCTTTGTATACCAAATGAGACCACAGTGCTTCCTCTCCTGTATTGGGTCAGGTTCTCCCTGGAAGTCTGCAAGTGTAAGCTTATAGATCATCCAGGACATAGTGACACTGCTACTTTAAAGGGTTACTCCCCATCTACGAGCTGTTTATGTAGACGTTAAATTGTTACCACCTATTGCATACCATGAGCAGGTACCACTTACTGTAGGCAACACACTGCCCCTCCCCCAGGCAATGTAAACCAAGTTCTGCAGCTGAACATATTCTGTGAGCCAGTCCTGCATTCGGATCTATGTGGTGCCCACACAGATACCTGGTAAGTTCAAAAAGACTTCAAAGAAGTCCCACAGGATTAACCTACATAGATTGACCCACAGGAGTGAGGCTTATCTATGTACTACTTGCAGACAACACTTCATCACACCGTGCATATATATATATCTCAATATTTATCACAGCGTGTACATACTCAAACAAGTGTAAGTGTATATGAACATGTTTTCAAGTCTGACTGAGTGCTGCATGGATAACATGAGTCAAAAAATTCAATTCAATAAATGGTTTTCCCTTTTGGTCTAAAATATAAAATTATACCCACAT